TCTCGTAAAAAGTATTGTTCAATTATTATTATTATTATTATTATTATTATTATTATTCCTTCTTCTAAGAACGGAGATGCCATTCGCAGAATCTTATAGAATTCTCATTCTAGAAAACATTGACAGATTTCAATACCGGCACGTAGTAATTTTATAACTTTATTTGCATAGGTTAAAAATGTTTAAAAATCTTAGTTTAAGGGATATTTTGAAAACTTATTAATTATTTGTGCGAAAATTAATTACTTGTGTTCTTTCTTCACGTACTAGTTGTAAGAACATTACAAATGAAAAAATGTTACGTACTAGTAAATCACAAAAGAAAATAATTGAATAGCATTTTAGTGGGAAAAATCCTTCAAGGCAAGATGAAAATGACGTCAAAAATTCCAAATTTTAAAATTAAATATCTTTGTCAATTTTGTAGTACAGGATTCAAATATTTTGTGTTTTACATTTTATGAGAATAACACTTTCCTGAATATAAGTATAGGGAACTATTTAAAAAAATTCTGAAGTTTTGTTTCTAATTTGAAGACTCCTATAATTTGAAGTATATGTCTACCACAAACGGTTGCGCAAATATAAGCCGCGTTAAGAACTTTTGTGAACACGCTATATATGTTGTGACAGTGGAATGTTTTTATTGGACAGTTGATGGTTTTCTGGAGCATGGGTTTTAATAGAGATTTTTAAAAATAAGCTTTTTATAATAATTGTTCAAGTTCAAAAATCTGCACACAGAATATCTGCGGGTCTTATAAAAGTAATTACATACACAAAATTACATTTTACATAAAAATAATGCTATATACTTACAGTGTCTCAAAAAAGTGATGGCACACTTGTGCTTTACAAAAGGAAACTGCAATAAAATAAATTTAAAAAACATGTAAAATTTTTTGTGGTGTGTTTTCATACTTAAATTTAGTAACAATTATTACATAACATACATTTTCTTTCTCAAAATATTAAAATATTAATTTAATAAAAATACAATTGTTTAGAACGGAGCAAAAAATGGCTCTCTTAAGTGATGGGACACTTACTTTTCCATCAAATATTTATCTAAAAATTTTACTTTTTAAAAGGTTTTTAAATTTTTGTTGGATTTCCTTTTACTTTTAAAACATGATTTAATCTTCTTGGGATGGATTCGACTAATTTTTTTTGTGATTTCTGGAGTGATTTTACCCCATTCTTCTTGAAGCAACGATTTTAATTGTTGTTTTGAAGAAATGGTGTGTTTTGCGAATTCTTGATTCCAATTCTTGCCAAGTATTCTCTATGGGATTTAATTGTGGAGATTGTGAGGGTGTTTTTATTATTTCAGGACAGTTACACAGCAGCCAGAGTCTAACGTTCAATGCACTGTGCTTGGGGTCATTGTCCTGGTAGAATTTTAAATCGTTATGAAGGTTCAATTTTTGTGCTGAAGATTTCAAATTTTGATTTAAAATGTCAATATACTTGTACGGATCCATTATACTGTCAATAAAAACAAGATTACAACAACTCCAGCGGACGACATACACCCCCATACCATAACTCCTCCTCCACCATGTTTTACTGTTGGCACCAAGTTCTGTTTGCGAAATTCTTCCCTGGGTTTTCTCCACACCAAGATCCTACCGTCAGAACCAAATATATTAAATTTACTCTCATCAGCAAATATAACTTTATTCCAGTAATCAGAATTCTTATTTATGTTGGATTTTGCGAAAGCCAGTCTGAGTTTTCTATTCTTTTCACTTGCGAAGAATTTTTTCCTGGCTGCTCTACCGTGATATCCAGTAGATCGAATTAGTCTCAGAATCTTCTAATAGTCTCAGAATTAACAATTACTCCATATAATGCTTGTAAATCAGCAGCAACTTTAAGAGCACTCATTCTTGGATTTTTTTTAAATATTTCGAACGATAATTCGCTTTATTCCATTGGATAGCTTTGATGGTCGGCCAGGTCTTCTTTTATCCTGAATCATATGATTCTTTTTATGTCGTTTATGATATTGAAAACTGTTGAATGACTGAAGTTAACTGTTTCAGTAGTTTCTCTAATAGATTTTCTTTTCCACGTTCAATATGCAAATTAATAACTAATTTTCGAATTCCAGGCAAAGTTTCTTTTCGTTTAGCATTCATGGCTGCACAGAGCTAAAAAACACAAAAATTCCAAAACAAACTGGAGAGAAATACTGCAGACGATTTTATAAATTATTGGCAATTGCTTTTGAGTAAAAATAAAAATACCCCAAAAGATATTTTTATTGCTTACTTCAGACGATTTTTGTTGCATGCATAATACGTAATGGTGTCCCATCACTTAAGTGAGCCATTTTCTGCTCCGTTCTAAACAATTGTATTTTTAATAAATTAATATTTTAATATTTGAGAAAATGTATGTTATGTAATAATTGTTACTAAATTTAAGTATGAAACACACCCACAAAAAATTTTACGTGTTTTTTAAATTTATTTTATTGCAGTTTCCTTTTGTAAAGCACAAGTGTGCCATCACTTTTTTGAGACACTGTATATTTTTTATATTATTTGATGGCAACATTTATGTGCATATTGTTTTAACTTTTCAGTTATCAATCAGTTTATATTTGATATTTCATTTTCAACTAAATAATAATTAATCTTTTAACTACTCATTAGTTAACTAATTTTATTTTATTCTATTTATATGTTTTCCGTCTGACAAAATTCGTAATTCTAACTGGGACGGAATAAAATTTAAAATTCCTTTCTCAAAAGCAGTCAATTGGAATAAAATAATTATTTGCCGCCAAAAATGAAATCCGAAACATATACTTAATATTCTGATATGCAAACACATACAACATTAATCGTTTTGGAATTTTTCCACATTTTATAATGCAAACAACATACGCAAGTAACACGAGTGAATAGATATACTTAACCTCTCAAAACTAACATATACGAATAGCATTAACAAATCTGATAACAACCAAAAATCCTTCGGAGCAAGAAGCTTTCTAGGAAAACTTTGCAAATGTGTGAACTTAACATAATGTAAAACAATTTACATAACGTTAAAGATAAATGTTATTTATCAGATACATTTTATTTACAATTTTCCGCTTTCTGAAAAGAGACTACCATAGATTCACAGAAATTTTTAGTTTGGTTTTATTATTTTAACATAATTACGTTTAAATATAAACATTAAGCAAAGTAATACTCCGATCAATTTAGATTTTTAAGTGCAATTCTACAAAATTGGCAACTCATTAAGTGTTTATAGCTTTGTACAATATCCCGGACCTGTAAAAATCCGATGCGGATGTGACTTATTACGTGACTAAATTATACACATACTACTAAATTATACACTGACTACTAGATTATACATATTTTTTGCTATAATTCATTTAAACTTATTTCCTATTAACGAAACTCTCATGAATTCAATGATAGTTGATAAGAGCATCAAAAACTGCAAATTTTGAAATTAAATATCCCGGTCAATTGTTGCGTAAGAGAATCGAACTTCTTATAATTTTATTTTTTTTATAACGAGTATAAATTTTCCCAAGTATAATTATAGGAAAGGGAAGACCGCATTAAAAATTAGATTTTGTTATTTGTCGAAAAGGAATTCTTTTTTAAATTTGGCATTGCCCAAACATAAATATTTTCGTCATTTAAAACACTTCAGTAGCTGGAAGTATATGACTACGGCCAACGATTGCGAGAATAAAGGCAGGATAAGGATTTTAAGCGGGTAAGAGGATCGGTAATACATACGCTTTTCGATTAGCCTTAAGGAATCAGTTAAAAAAAAAAATTCAGAATATAGTAGGAGCCGATTAATGTGATCACATTTGTCCACGGCTATTTTGATAAAATTAACCGAATGATAATATGAAACGATTAGTAAAAATGGCCTTCAATACAGCAATGAAATTTAACAAATTTAATATAAAAATGTTAAAAACATATAAATAGTATTTCCATAGCACTCTAATTAGGAATAAAAATGATTATAATTTCTATTTTGGTCGGTACTTACGTATTAACGTACCCACTTTAGTAGAAGTCGCCAAATTTTCAGAATGTGCAAAATCTGGCAACAACGCGCATTCTTCCTGCAACCATGTTAATAACAATCCTTCAGTCTGGTGTAATACATTTTTATAGCCTCGAAATTTCACAACAAATTAATAAAAGTAGAGAGCAAAATGATTTCTCTTACCTTGTATCCAGCGCAGCATCAAGCGAGATCATACCTGGTTAACTTGTAATCCAAAAAAGATTTATAGACGGAAATTGTAAGTGAAACACATTCTTTTAATACATGAAAATAGATTAAGATTAGTTAGTATTCTAAATACATATTAAAAAAGGAAGTTATATAAAAGAGAACGTCATATCACTGTCCTTTCCTGAAGGTTAGGTTAGGTTAAGTTATTTAATTACGGCCAAGCCTCGAGGGCTATCTGCCTAAGGGGAGGGATGCCTTCGTGGAGGACTTTCTAAGGGAAACTGGCTCGTATACACGTTACACATAGGGAAAACCACGAAAACGCCCATGCAGCCAGCCCGTTCGCGGGATTCGAACCTCGGACCGAACTACCAATGTTCAGCGACTTTACCGCTCGGCCGCTAGTGGGCCCTTTCCTGAAAGAGTGAGGAAAGTAAGTGTAAAGAATAAGCGAGTTACACAGTTAACTCCTTTGCAGGGTTTCCAGTTCATAATGTTTATCGCGCTATTGGCGAAAGTCCATCACTATATGCATTCCAACACCCCTACTTGATGGGCAGCATCGCCATTTGCAGCGATTCTCGAACACAAGCTTGCCTAGTGGTTTGGTGAGTAGATCCGCAATAATGTCGGAGCTTCTGCAGTAGTCTAGGCCCAAGACCCCGTTTTGTTGAAGCTCACACAAGTAATGGTATTTGACGTCTATATGTTTTGTTCTGGCGCTATTTTCCTCTCTTTGTGACAGTTTGATGCACGACTTCTTATCATCATAGAGAGTAAACGGCAGATTTTAGTCCTAGATCTTTAAGCAAATTTAACAGCCATTGTGCTTCTTGTGCTGTATTAGCTGCTGCAATATACTCTGCTTCAGTTGAAGATAGTGCAATGCAATTTTGCCTTTTGCTGCTCCATGAAATGCAGTTATTTAATAGTTTGAATATGTATCCACTGATAGATTTTCTTGTTGTTCTGTCATTTGCCCAATCTGCATCTGAATATGCAGTTAATATAGGTTCTTGAATTTTTTTAAAGACCAGCTCAAAGTCTTTAGTTGTATATAAGGATCGAATGACTTTCTTGACAGCATTCCAATCTATGTTCCGAGGTTTTTCGTTTCTTTTACTCAGTAGATTGACAGCGCATGCTATATCCGGTCTGCTAGTTGTTGCAATATATAATAATGCCCCTACTGCTTGCCTATATTGTGCATTATCTTCTAGAAGACCATCTTCAGTTTCTAGTTTGCAGTAGTTTGTTTCCATTGGCGTATATGTTGGTTTTTCGTTTTGAAGTCCAAATTTTTGAATTATTTCTTTATTTTATTCTTTTAGTTCATGGCAAAAGTTCTATCTTTAAATCTTTCGATGTTTATGTCGAGGTAGTAGGTGACTTCTAGATTTTTGATTTCAAATTTAGCATTCAGTTGTTGGATTGTTTCCATTACATCTTCTTCTCTTTCACTTCCTATAAGCATATCATCTACATATAGTATTATATACGTGAATTTTCCATTGATGTTTTTGAAAAACAAGAATGGGTCTGCTTTACTTTGCTTAAATGACATGTTTAGAAGTATTTTTCCAATTTCCAGATTCCAAGCTCTAGCGGCTTGTTTTAAACCATATATAGATTTCTTCAGCTTGCAAACTTTATTTTAATTTCCTGCTTTTGAGCATCCTTCGGGTTGTCATGTAAATTTCTTCTTCTAGTTCTCCATGAAGGAAAGCTGTTTTGACATCCATATGTCTGACAGACATGTTTTTATACGAAGCTGCACATAGGAAGGCTCGTAGAGTTGTGTATTTTACTACAGAAGTAAAAGTTTCATCATAGTCAGATCCAAACTTCTGGCTAAATCCTTTTGCGACTAATCTGGCTTTGTAGCTTTCAATTTTTCTTTCTGCATTGAGCTTGGTTTTGAAAGACCATTTGCATCCTATTGGTTTTCTTCCTTTTGGTAAATCAACTAATTCCCAAGTGTTGTTTTCTTCTAGTGACTTAATTTCTTCTCGAATTGTTAGCCTTTTTTTTTTCCTCCTCATTTTCTTTTAAAATTTGAATTATTTTCGGTTTTATATGAAACTACAGTTTAGCTTTTACAGTTTTTTTCTTTATTATTATTTAATTAAGCTATGATATTTTCATCAGTCTCATAATCTTTTGTTGTAAAACATTTTTATAACCTCGAAATTTCACAAGAAATTAATAAAAGCAAAGAGCAAAATGATTTCTCTTACCTTGTATCCAGCGCAGCATCAAACGAGATCATACCTAATTAACTTGTAATCCAAAAAAGGTTTATAGACGGAAATTGTAAGTGAAACACATTTTTTATTAATACATGAAAATAGATTAAGATTAGTTAGTATTCTAAATACATATTGAAAAAGGGAATTATATAAAAGAGAGTGTCATATCACTGTCCTTTCCTGAAGGAGTGAGAAAAGTTAAGTGTAAAGAATAAGCGAGTTACAAACTCCTTTGCAGGGTTTCCAGTTCCTAATGTTTATCGGGCTATTGGCGATAGTCCATCACTATATGCATACCAACACAGTCAAGCAACGCTGCCATTTTCGTATGCGTTCTTTTTTGTTGTATTCCAAGTCCAACAGTTTTCATAAGCAAATCATATTTTTAGTCCAAAAAGGCATTATCTCTGCCCCGAAACGGCATTTTGTGTCAAATCACTATAAACTGCTATATCACTTTTCAAATCGCTGCCACTAAATATTATCGCCCTGTTTTATATTTAAAGAAATTAAATAATGAAGAATTTGGATGAATATATGTATGTTTCTCGCACTGTGAAAAAACAACGATACTTAAAGCCATCAAATTTTGAATAACGTAGTACTCCATCCGAATATGGGCATCTGGAAGCAGAATCTTGAATTTCGAATTTGTTTTATTGCCTGTTTCATATTTTTTAAACTTTAGCGAATTTTTCATTAAAAAGTTCAACGATTTCAAAGCAAGCAGTGGCAACATACTACACAGAAAAATATTTTTATCTCCAGCGCGCGATACGGTCTATCGGAAATTCTAAAGATATGCTGTTGGAATACAGAATTCTGCCGGAAATTTTCTAAAGGGAACAACGAAGAATTACGTTTCTTAGATGGTCCACCAGCGGCCGAGCGGTAACGTCGCTGAACACTGGTAGTTCGGTCCGAGGTTCGAATCCCGCGAACGGGCTGGCTGCATGGTCGTTTTCGTGGTTTTTCCCACGTGTAAAGTGTATACGAGTCAGTTTCCCTTAGAAAGTCCTCCTTCCCTTTAGGCAGATAGCCCTAGTGTGCTGTGCCATAATTAAATAAACCAAACCGTTTCCTAGACAGCTGTGCGCCACCAGGACCTGAGCGCTAAAGTCGCTGAACGTTGGTAGTTCGCTCTGGGTTCCATTCCAGGCGAACGAACGGTCTAGCTGCATGAGCGTTCTAATGGTTTTTCTCCATGTGTAACATGCATACGAGCCGATTCCCAGTAGAAATTTGCCCTACGAAGACGTCTAGGCCCTGAGACAGATACCTGAGTGTGTTTTGCCACAATCAACTAAACCAAACCTAGATAGCCGCCGTTGTTGCAAATTTCCAAAAGCCGAGGCTCCGTAATTCTCTGATGTTTTTGCAAGGGAAAACAAGTACTTCAAAAGAACAGGGCAAAAAAATTACAGAAAGATTTGAAGAACAATGCAAGTATTTTATTTTTTTCAATGTATCATGTAATCCTTATTTAATAATTCAAATCTGCATTTTATTTGCTTTAATTTAAATTGCTGAAGTTTTCTTTTCATAGATAATGTTTACCGACTCACGATAAATATCAACAGTTTAGGAATCTTTCTAAAAAAAAGTGAAAAAAAACCACCAGTTCGCATCCGATAAGTAACTTACAGATGAAAAATCTGTAAAAAGTCACCAAATTGCGCCAAGGTAGTTCTGTTAATACCTAAGTACCAGAAGAAATTATTCAGACTTTTTTTTCTCTCCTGAAGAAGAAAGACTTGCATCTGAAAGCTCTAAAAATTAATAGAGGTATCCAAAATCTACGTCAAACTATGGCTTAATTATTTAATTTTAAATGATTCGCTGAAATTGAAAGCAAGCTCTTTAGCGACTTAACCCCTTACATGGCTACATATCTCTAGCTGGCAATTTTCATAATCTATTTTGACCTTATTTGGCAACATTCTTTTAGTTTAAAATATTTATTCTATGATAGTTTGATCACATTAACCGAATTGTTGATTCCAATAAGCGATGCATCTTCCATGTTTCTGTATACGAGCGGCCGGGAATTCGGCAAATCGATAACAAAATCCGTTTAATAACATTAACAGCGATCACATGCGGCGTCTACTGTAATTCGAAGTTGATATTTTTTCTATTAACGTCATTCGGTGACGTTCTTTTGTGATTTATTAATGCGTAATATTCTTCAATTTAGAATTTTGTTACAATGGCACACCGAAAGAATTTCATGTAAGTAATTTATATGTTTCCAAATGCTAAAAGTGTTTTATTAATATCCTCGTGAAGTTTTAGTGCTTTGTAATAATAGTCTTTTAGCCATGCAAAAAATTCATTAAATTAGGAATAATATTTAAAATTTTTAATTTATGTAAATAATGTTACCAATTGTTATGGGCCGATACCGAAGTCTGTCAGTGTTTTCCAGAACATGAATTACATCAGAATCTTTTTTGAAAAAAAATTATATTAATCAATACTTTTCACAACAATCTGCATAGAAATGCTCATCACTTAATCTATTAACATCAGAAACGTTTTTCTATCTTCATAAGCGGGATAGTGCTTCAGGTCTTCAGGTGTTTTGATGCAGAGATTCTTGTGATCTCACTAGCTCTGGAAAACCTCAAGATAAAGATCGACTGTTTCTCTAAAGCAGTTATTCTAATCGATTCCAAAGCACCCATCCAGGCTGTAGTTATAAATCATGACACAGATACCCAGATTATCTCAGAAATAAGACAAACCTTAAACTTTATAAATACAACAAAAAATCGTTTTTCAATTGATCCCTTCACATGTAGGTATCGATGGTAACGAAAACAGAGACTCATTAGCCAAGAGAGGAACAGTTAAGCCGCAAAACAGTAAACCACTTCCTCCAGAAACACTTAAAAAGCATATTTTTGAGAAATTAAGGGATTCTCTTAAATCTGACCAGGCAGCAAATCCTGGGCTAACATTCAAGACACATGGAAAAGGTTTTGTCAAAAGCCCCGTAAAGAGGCTGTAGCAAACTTCAGACTGCAAACAGACCACGATTGCATGGAACACCATCTTAACAAAATTAGCATCCTTCCATCTAGTATATGCCAAATTTGCAGTTCTGGCACCATGAATGCAGAGCATGTTCTTATATACCCAGAACTACACTGCTGGCCACCCAAATTGCAACACCAAGAAAGACAAGAGATATCACAACAAAATTTATTTGGTAGATAACATGTTGACTAAGTATCAAATGATTAAATTTATAAACTTCTGTGAAGTGTGGTTCCTTCCAGAATCAGTAGCCAGAGTAGCCGCCCATTGCTGGAGATCACCGCTGCCACACGCCTCGGCATTAATTCAAAGAGACTTTGGATGTGTTCTTGGGGTACAGCAGACCAAGCAGCTTCCAGACGTTGCCAAAGTTGATCTGGTGTGGCAGCTTGGGATGTAATCTGGGTCAATCGTTCAGCAACCATGGACCACATGTTTTCTATCGGCGAAAGATTCGGAGAGCGAGCCGGTCAGGGAAGCAATTCAATCTGGAGATTGACGAAGAACCCTTGGACAATGCGTGCCACGTGTGGTCGCGCATTATCCTGTTGAAATATGGCTCTGAGCAAGCCCTGAAGGTAAAGAAGGACAACTGGCTCCAACATCTCGGAGATGTAGCGCTGGCTGTTTAAAGTACCGGCAATGCGTAGAGGAATGCGAGAGTGATTTCAATACCGCCCCATACCATAATACCCGGTGCAGGACCAGTGTGGCAGTGCATAACGCAGCTATTCAGCATTCTCTCTCTACGGTGTCTCTAGACTCGAATCCGACCATCGTGGTGTTGCAGACAGAAGCGTGACTCGTCAGTAAAGACAATTTCTGCCGTCCACTACCTTCTTTCAACGCACCATTAGCGGCGGAGATGTCTGTGGTTCTGCGTCAAGGGGAGACGAAGCAATGGACATCTTGCGGGCAGACCACTCTGCTTTAAACGGCGTCGAATGGTACGTGCAGACACTGGATGATGC